TCTAACAAAATAATTAGTTATTATATTTATAAGAAAATTATATTATTAAACCAAATATAATTTACTTTGTTATAGAATCTAAATTAATTATCAATAAAATTTTGAATGAAAAACTACACAAAAATGAGGAATTTTAAATAGTTAATTTGATACTAATATCGATATATTTTTGTCAAATTTTTATGATATCTTCAAATTTATATTTTATTCAAAAGTAAAAAAATTATCACTTTTTCAAATTAAGATAAGATCATATTATTACATCGACTGAGATAAAGAACAAAATAAAATATTAAAATTAAGATGTATCTCGCTGCATTGTGCGAGTAGTATATATATATAGAGAGAGGGTTAACATCGTTTGTTAAAAATGTATTAACTATACAAACCTTTTGGACCAATTACAAGTCATTGTTATCTTAGGTTCATCTATCACCATGTAATTAATATTGAGGATATATTGATAATTTACTTTTTTGTGTTACTTACATTTGCATTAATGAGTTGCTACAAAAACTTCCTACCCCATGATTCTAGTTAAATTATTATGTTTGTTTTTTTTTCCAGATTATTATTTTGATGTTTCAGTGGAATAAGTAACTTGGATGGTCATATATGTAATTGACATCATTATTCACATCAAACAATTGAGTTTGATTTATTGAATGATAGTAATGGTTGAATAAAATTTAATTGTTCATAAGTGAACATATTTCCAAAAGGTGTACAATGTTCATTATCTGTTAACATATGAAAAAAATGGAACAACCAAATGAACTTTTGTGAACTTATGTGAACATCCAAGCAATGCACATAACACTTATGAACATATATGAACATTCAAACGCACTGTTCATAAGTGAACTCATGTTCGTATAAAATGGGGGATGTTCATGTGTATATGAATATACACATGGGCGGTTAAAAAACATTAATATATACATGAACAGTTACAAAACATCCACATCTTTATGAAAATTTTCCAATAATATTCTTGTTCATACATGTTCATCTTATTTAGTAACATATTATATTATTAGCTATTACAAAATTGTTATCATAAATGTCACGAATTGATTCACAAGATGAATGATTATAATAAGTTCACAAAGTTAACATCATAAATTAGATCAACAAAAGAATCTACTCTTGTTTGTATATATATATATGTCTGTGAATATATATATATATATATATATATATATATATATATATATAAACACCAAGATATATATATTTAGTTTGAATAAAATAATGATTTAAAACCATTTTGATAACACTATATAACGATCTTGTTTACGAATTATCACGTTTTGATTCCAAATGGACATCCATGGACTTTTGTGAAAAAGCCAAACTTAGCATATCCTACGATGTGCAACATGTCACCTCAAGGTGACCACGGTCCCTCCTCAGGCCTAAGCCTCGAAGTGGTTAATGACACACACCACATCCACGTAGTCCTACAAGACGTTAGCGACGTACCTGATTGCTTGGTAGTTAGTAGTCTTGCCACTTATTTTTCCTTAGAACAAAAGTTTAACAAACATGACTTAATATTTTTTAGGAACTCCAATAAAGTCGAGCACTTGAGGTTCACCAACGATCCAAATTTTTGCTATGGTTCGTCTCCTTGCATTATGACCCCATATCTACAATTGTATACGACTTGGTCACTGCACAATGAATTATAAAATGCGTAATATTAGAGTTGCGTATTAAGTCTTAAAAAATTGACTTTTGATATTATGTTGTATTCAATCAAAGTCGGTAAGCATCAACCAAAAATTTAAATCGATTATTTGACATTTAAAAATGCGTGTGACCACATACTTATTCAGACTTTGAACAACTATTGATCGTCACTTTCTCCTCTCATTATGATAACTTTTGTCCTCATATTCAAATCAAAATCCTTATAGGTGGAAACAATTCAAAGTTTTAAAGGGGTTTTACAACATTTTCAACCATCGATTTCAAAAGAATAACTTGACCCTAAATAGATACTGTAACCCTTCACTTCGTAGCTGAAGAATACGTATGTTCAAAGCATTGCAACCTTTAAGTCCAATTACCATTAGTCGAAAGAAAAAAGATGTCTTTTGCACGTTTCAACAAATTTTGATATGAATCAATAAAATATTATATATATATATATATATGCACACACACACACACACACTAGTAGTGTACCCTTGCGATGCATCACGAGTTGAATCACAATTTTGAAACATTAGTTTAGCCTTGAATCATGAGTTTGTGTGGTTATTTTACAAGTCAACTAATATATAAAGTTGAAAGTTAATATGGTATATTAGCAAGATCGATTGAAAAAATAATTGCACATATGTTGGGTTTCTAAACCCATATAAAGTTGAAGGGTTAAGGTGGGGTACATGCAGGATCTGAAACCCTTTCTGATATTGTTGCTTCAAATTTCAATTTACTTCAAGAGAAAGAATAAATTTAAATTTGAATTTGAGTTCAAAATAGGAAGAAACAAAATGTCAAACAACTTTAGGAAGACTAAACATATATTTTTCATGTAAATATTGGTTACTTAAATATGAAACTTTGACCAAACAAATGGTATGTTTTAAACATTTGTACATTATGCATAATAGTTTGTATTTAAAAGATTTTTGAATCTCTTACATAAATTGATAGTATTTTATGCTTTAAGACTTGTAATTAAGACTTTTGGTTTAAATGCTTGTTAATGTAGTGTGTGTGTGTATAAGAAGAAAGTGGTGCAATGCCGTAATTTTTGAAGTTTGTAAAGAGAAAGCAAGTCTAACCCAATTAGGATTTGGTGTTGCATAAATAACTTGTACATTGTGCAAAATATTTTGTAATTAATAGATTTTTAAATTCTTGCATAAAATAATGGTATTTTATGCTTTAAGACTTGTACCTAAGATATACGTCTAAATGCTTATTAATGTCGTGTGTGTGTGTGTATATATATATATATATATATATATATATATATATATATAGACTTGGGATCATGTAAGATCAGCATGTTTTCGTGAGACCCGTGAGACCACCTTTTTACACTTGAAACTTCACAGCAAAATGCTGTGAATGTGACTTTTTTTAACCTTCACAATGTTTTTGCTGTGAAAGTTCGACTTTTTTCTAACATTCACAGTGTTTTTGCTGTGAAGTTTACGTGTAAAAATGTGGTCTCACGGGTCTCACGAAAATAGGCTGGTCTCACGTGAACCCAACTATATATATATAGGGTTGGGTTCACGTGAGACCAATGTTTTTTCGTGAGACCCGTAAGACCAATTTTATGTTCATTGATCAACTTTATAAGCTAATGATCTAATGGTCTAAAGTTGCACGGTGGTAATTTTGTGATTATTGAGAAGTCTCGTGGCATTTATGAATATTCAGATTGTCAAATTATAGATGTAATCCAAGGGTTGAAAAATAGTCTTACGGGTCTCACGAAAAACTTTTGGTCTCACGTGATCCCAAGTATATATATATATATATATATAGAGAGAGAGAGAGAGAGAGAGAGAGAGGTTGGTTATTATACAACCCTTGACATTTGTGCAACCAATACAACTCAATCTCAACCGTCCATTTCATTTGATTAATATGTGATTTCATAGAAGTTTTGATTGTTTCCTAATATAAAATATTGATCATAAATTAATGAACCATATTCATCTTCCATAAAATTCAAATCATAATAAATGAACTCTGATCATTTCCATAAATATCTCAATTTATTAGGTTGTATTTGAAACAAACTATATATATATATATATATGTATATATATATTTTTTTTTTATTGGTAGTATTTTCAAAGACAACAAATTCTTTAATTTATTATTCTTGTAATAATACCGAATTAAATAAATCCAAATAAATAGGTGGTGGTGGAATACATTTTCCAATAAAAAATAAAAAGGAAAAAGGAAAAAAGTAAACTCTGAGCTGTATTTTCAAGTCATACACATGATTTATATTGTTTTTATTTATTTTTCAAACCATATCTTTGACTTTTTATTTTTAGTAATTTATTTATTATTTTTATTTATCAAATATTCAACAACATCTCCGGTTCTCCATTTATTTCTATTAATTAAAAATATATTTTTTTACTTCAAGTTATAATAAATATATATTTTGAACAAGAGTTTGATTTGAATGATATACTTATGAATAGTAACAATCGTTATAAAATATTTATAAAATCAATTTTAATTATGTAATTATTACGAAAAATTAATTCAAATATATTATTTAAATTTATGTGATTATAGTCAACTATCTTGAATATCGTTCGCAATTATGAACCAAAACAAAAGGTCAACATCTATGTTTTGATTGTGTTGTCATTTTTTCATTTTTTGTAATTGACTATGAAAAAAATGCTTGAATATTGATTAAATATATAACTGTTGGAATAAATAACAATAGATATAGATTTTAAGTTTAAGTGAATTACATTGTTGGAGAAAATGGTATGTAAATCAAGAAACGAGGACCAATCATGTATTTATTAAAATTTAGGGATAAAAACAGAAAAACAGCCAAGTTGCTGTTTTTAAGTTATATGTTAATTTAAAGTTGAATATTTTGGAAACAAAAAAGGAGAAAATTGCAATTTTGTTTGTATGAAATGGAGGGTTGGGGTATTTATTAATGCATTTTTCATCCGCACCAACGGCTTCCTAATCCTTACACAACCTTCCACCACCTCCTCTCTCTCTCTTTCATTAAAACCTCTCTCTCTCTCTCTCTCTCTCTCTCTCTCTCTAGAAAGAGCCATCGGCAACAGGCCACTCAGAAAGAAAAACCCACCTCTTTCAATACCAAACAACCCATAGTCAATTTAATACTCCCCTCGATCTGTGTTCTCTAATATATCTCCTTTCTTTCAAAAAGAGATTACAACCCTTGTTCTCAATTTCTTCACTTTTGCTGCACCCATTTCGCCCTTTTTCTGTATTTTTTGGTATGTGATGCCCAGATCAAGAAATCTTCATTTCTCGAATGGGGTTTCTCGCTAAACCCTGAAATTTCACACCTTTTGTTCGTGATCTTGTTCTTGTTGGGGTTTTGTGTGTTTCAGTTGATATATATCGAGATGGTTGCTGTATTGGAGATATGGGTACTTGTCATTGTTCTTGTGGTTTCTCTTCAAAGCCATGTTCTTGTGATTTCACAGAATCTGAMATGCAATCCCGATGACCTGAGAGGRTTAAGAGGTTTCATGGATCGATTGGAATCACAGATTGATGGGTGGCCTACAAATTCATCATCTTTATCCTCGCTTCCTTGCTGCAACTTGGTAGGTGTCACTTGTAATTCCTCTTCAGGTAGGATTGTTGGATTAGCACTCCAAAAGAGAAGATTAACTGGTAACTTATCGGATAYAATTTCCAATTTAGATCAGCTTAGAACCCTCAATCTTTCACACAATTTTCTTAAAGGCCCTCTTCCAATCTCCCTTTTTCATCTTTCCCATTTGGAAGAAGTTGATTTGAGTAGTAATAAATTCGATGGGGTTTTACCAGTTAGCATAAACCTGCCTGCACTTCAAGTATTAGACATCTCTGATAATGCCATTAGAGGTTCTATTCCAGCTGCTTTATGTGTTAACTCCACCGGAATTCGTCTTCTTAGATTTGCTGTGAATTACTTCAGTGGAAGTATTCCACCCCAATTGGGGAATTGCCTTCTTCTTGAACACCTGTGTGTGGCTTCCAATTTTCTTACAGGCGAAATACCGGAATTCTTATTCAGATTACCAAGACTGCGTGAATTGGCTCTCCAGGACAATATGTTCACCTCCTTCCCCGGAATCGGTAATTCCTCTAGTCGTCTGGTTCGTTTGGATGTTTCATCCAACAGGCTCTCTGGAAATGTACCTGATTTCTTTCATAGCYTTCCGAAWATAAATTATTTCTCAGCTCATTCGAATAATCTGTCTGGTGGGATACCTTCATCATTGTTGAATTCACAAACCATTTCTTATCTTAACTTGAGAAAMAATTMTTTGGATGGTTTAATCAAWTTTAACTGTTCGATAATGGTTAATCTTACCTCACTTGATCTGGGCACAAACAACTTTTCTGGTTCAATAGCTCATCTTCCTTCTTGCTCCAAGTTAAAAGCTATAAATCTTGCCAGGAACAGACTCATTGGCCAAGTCCCAGAAAGTTTCAAGAATTTTCAATCTCTTTCTTACCTTTCACTCTCCAATTGCAGCCTCAATAACCTCTCAACATCTCTTAAAATCCTCCAGCACTGCCCCAATCTAACAGTTTTGGTTCTTRCCATGAACTTTCRTACCGAACAGTTGCCATCTGATGATGACCTACAGTTCAGAGCACTCAAGGCTCTTGTGATTCCCAATTGCAGGCTAACGGGTAGCATTCCGTCGTGGCTAAACGGTTTAACAGAGTTGCAGTTGTTGGATTTGTCATGGAACCACTTGACAGGATCAATTCCGGCCTATTTGGGGGMTTTTAAGTCTCTGTTTTACTTGGACTTATCGAACAATTCCTTGTCGGGAGAGATMCCCAAGAGTCTAACACASTTACCGAGCCTGATTTCAAGAGAGATCTCATTAGAAGAACCGTCCCCRGATTTCCCGTTCTTCAAGAAAAGAAACATCAGCGGTAGAGGTTTACCGTTGCAGTACAATCAGATCATGAGCTTTCCACCATTGTTAGACCTGAGTAGCAACATCCTCACTGGCCCAATCTGGCCGGAGTTTGGGAACTTGAAAAAGCTACATGATTTGGATTTGAAACACAACAATTTATCCGGTGGGATTCCGAGCTCTTTATCAGGTATGAGGAGCATAGAGACACTGGATTTGTCATATAACAATCTGTCTGGAACAATCCCTCCATCTCTGGTCAGACTAAGTTTTTTGTCCAAATTCAGTGTTGCTTACAATAATCTGAGGGGGTCCATCCCTTCTGGAGGTCAATTTCAGACCTTTCCGAACTCTAGCTTCGAGGGGAACCAAGGTTTATGTGGGGGCGGACATGTGGTATGTGAAAGCCGAAAAATCCCTGAATTTACTTCCAGGAAATCTGAGAAAAATATTGGGAAAATTGTCGGTATGGCTGTTGGGATTTGTTTGGGGACGGTGTTTCTTCTTGCTCTGATGTTCATGGTGGTTGTTCGAGCCACTGGACGACAAGAGGTTGATCCCGAAAGGGAAGATGGCAATGATGGCGATGATGATGATGATAACAAGAAACACTTTGATGAACTCGATTCAAAATTAGTTCTTTTCCACAACAACAAAGAGCTCTCCTTTGATGACCTTCTGAAATCAACCAACAGTTTTGATCAAGCGAACATCATTGGTTGTGGTGGATTTGGTCTGGTCTTCAAAGCCACGCTTCCCGATAACCAGAAAGTCGCCATCAAACGACTCTCGGGCGACTGTGGTCAAGTCGACAGAGAATTCCAAGCCGAAGTCGAAACACTCTCAAGAGCTCAGCATCCAAACCTCGTCCTCCTTCAAGGGTATTGTAAACACAAGAACGATCGGTTCCTTATATACTCGTTTATGGAGCACGGCAGCTTAGACTATTGGCTACACGAAAAACCAGACGGGCGGTCCGAACTTGACTGGAAAACACGCCTGAATATCGCTCAAGGATCCCTCCGAGGTCTAGCTTACTTGCACCAATCTTGCGATCCCCATATCCTTCATCGTGATATAAAGTCAAGCAACATCCTCCTAGACGAGCATTTCGAAGCCCATTTAGCCGATTTCGGTCTTGCAAGACTCATTCTACCGTACGACACACACGTAACGACGGATCTGGTTGGGACGTTGGGGTACATTCCGCCGGAATATGGTCAAGCTGCAGTTGCATCTTTCAAAGGGGATGTTTACAGTTTTGGGGTGGTTCTTTTGGAGCTTTTAACAGGGAAAAGACCAATGGATATGTGCAAACCAAAGGGAAGCAGAGATTTGATCTCATGGGTATTGCAAATGAAGACTGAAAGAAGGGAAAACGAAGTGATTGATTCATTCATGTTCAATAAAGAAGACGCGAAGGAGATGCAATTGGTTCTTGGGATTGCTTGTGTTTGTCTGAATGAATCCCCGAAGTTAAGACCGTCGACATCGGAGCTACTTTCATGGCTGGATAACGTCGGAAAACAGTAACAGTTTCATGGAGTTTTTTTTTTTTTTTTAATTTTTAATTTTTAATTTCTTAATTTGGATTGTATATAGCATCACTATACATGGATGGATGGAAGCAAGAAATGAAACCTTGCAAGTGAATACAGTGGAATTTACTTGAAGAAATTTTCAATGATAGTTGGTTATGGTGATAATTTGAAAAGTCAGAGTATTGGGCAACTTGACTCGACTTATTAATATGTCGAGTCGAGCTCGAGTTCAAACCGAGCCTATTTAAGTCGAATGTTAATCGAGTCGATCTCGAGTAGCTCGCGAGTTGTCTTATACCGTTTTTAATTGCAACAGGTAGGGAAGTGGGAAAGGAACAATTTAAGGCCAGAATCTAGTCTCGAGAGGTACCGGGTCAACGCGGTCCACCCTGATTTGGCGGAAACCAAAGTCAAACTTTTTTAACCAAAAGTCACATGCATATTTCAAATGTCGACGTCCCTTTGCACACATAAAGTTCAAAATCCCTTTATTATTAATTTTTTTTAAACTTTATATCAACTTTCTTATGATATGAACCCATAATCTTTATTAAAGTCGATGGATTTTATTTACGTTAATTAAAGCTGAAACTTGTTCATAAAGACAATCGGTTAATGATTCAAACATCACTAAAAGTGAGAATGATGTGTGAGTTTATTTATTCTATTTGCTGTATATAAATATTATGTACTTTAAAAAAAGATAACCACCCTTAATTCGTTAGTGCTTGATATATGTAAATGATTGTTTTTTATCTTTTGAGATGTTATAAAATGCATTTTTTGAAAACTTTGACGATGTTCTGAGATATTAAAAAAAATATAAAAGATATCAACTAAAAAACCGAAAAAATCTATCGAAATCAACCAAAGAATAAAAAAAACCATCAAAGACAAACAAAAAACTTTTAAAAAAATCCTTTAAAAACAGTGGATTTCGGCTGAAAATACATCAAGCTTACTATACCGTATAATACTTAGGTGTCGTTTACCAAACGTTTACCCGGGTAAGCGCTTACCAAGTCACTTTACTTTACCGGATGAATATGGCAAGGACTAAAAATCTTACCCAGTAAGAGCGAAGGCAAGAATCGAGAGTCTTACCCGGTAAGTGAGGACGAAGACTCTTACCATGGTTAGTGCTTACCGGGATAAATTGTTGCATACGATGCGTTTTAGTGAATAAAATCTTATCCGGTAAGTAAACGATAATATTAAATTTTACCGATAAATGCTTATCAGGTAAGTGTTTAGATAAACGACCTTTATTCTTTTATGTCTTGTTCAAAATGTGGATTCCGTTTGGAAATTGACCAAAAGATATCAAATTGGCTATTGTTGACCACTTGAGCTTTGACCTATATATTGTATGGTGTGGGTTGTGATAGACTTTGGACCTTGTTGGTTTAATATCTAGTGGAAAACCCCACTCTATTAAATTACACAAAATAATAGCGTTCAACAATTAATACAATTTTAATTATAAAAGAAATGACATTAATTTATCGAAAACCATCTTTCGAGACGATAAAGGCTACTCCGTCACAAATCATATCTATCGTCATGGTAATTCAAAATGATGTATCATTTGCGACCAGCGTTCACACTTATTTCCATAGAAGAACATCAATTATTTCACGTAAAGGCAGCGATTTCCTTAGGGAAAATTGGGTCGATTTTATTTAACTCGTCCTTTTGTACTTATTCATAGATTTGAAGATAAGAGTAGGTTTATTGGCAAGAGTCATCTTACTGATTTACCTTTATGGAGAACATTCTCGGTAATCAAAATAGATTGACGGTAAGCCAACAAGATTCTTGATCGGTACACCTCTTATCCCGTAAGATTCTCGGTACGCTTACCCACCAGTCTGACTTGCTTTACCGGTAAGATTCTAAGTCATCCAAATAACATAATGAGATTGTTAATAATCGTCTCTTACAGTTTTACTTGATAAACGTTAACAGGGTAAAAGTCACAATGGGTAAAATTATTGGTCCTAAGATTCTCGTCCTTGTCATGCTCATACTTTGATATAGAGCGAGAAAAATTGAATTTGATTCGTTCAATTTATAAGATTTTGGAACAACTAGAAAATTACAAAAAATGAAACTATAAATTTTGAACAACAAAAGGCGAGTAATCATCCGACAACAGATTTTCCATCAAGCCTTACAAGGAGTTCTAGGAACTCTGAATAGTTGTTTAAACAGCGAGTTACATTTACGTACTATCAGTGCCAATATTGACATATTTGGGGCATTGAAAGAAATAACGGATTAGTCTTCTGCTTTAGGCATTATTTTTTATTTGTTTTTAAAAAAAAAAATTCAAGGATTCCTCATGGTAACCATTCAAGCCGATGAAATTAGTAATATTACCCGTGAACATATTGAGCGATATATAATAGAGAAGTAAAGATTGAAAACACCAATATCGTACTTCAAGTAGGTGATGACATTGCTCGTATTCATGGTCTTGAGGAAGTAATGGCGGGTGAATTTTAGTAGAATACGAAGATGGTACAATAGGCATTGCTCTTAATTTGGAATCAACTAATGGTGGTGTTGTGTTAATGGGTGATGGTTTGCTGATACAAGAAGGGAGTTCTGTAAAAGCAACAGGAAGAATTGCTCAGATACCAGTGAGTGAGACCTATTTGGGTTGTGTTATAAACGCCCTGGCTAAACCTATTGATGGTTCTGAATATAGGTTAATCGAATAGGCGGCTCCGGGGATTATTTCTCTACATTCTGTATATGAGCCTCTTCAAACAGGGCTTATTGCTATTGATTCAATGATTCTTGTAGGACGTGGTCGACGAGAATTAATTATCAGGGGCAGACAGACGGGTAAATATATGCAGTTATGTCTTAACCATTTAACAACTCATAACCATTGATCTCTCATATAAATATGTGCAGTGAGAATCTAGGTATATATAAGGACTCAATTTTACAGCTTTTTAAGCTTAAAATTTTCATTTAGAATTATCCCAATACAAAATTTGTGATACCCAAAGCAATAAGGGACATGGTATTCGAAAAGCGAACTTTCCGCAATCCAAGTAATTATCCGGTTCACATATCATCTCCAATCCCCAATATCTAACAACATATCTCACTAGGAGGTAGGGTCTGAAAAAACTGGAATATACACAAATATGTCATCAGTCCCAAAAAGTAGAACACGAGTGTCCATGAAAACCCGACTTAAACACGAATTTATGATCAGAATATCAGAAAACATATCAAATAAAGAGTAAATTAACATCCCCCAAAGTACTTTTATACATGACATAAGAACATAATACAACTATTGTATTTGATTACATCACACACATGAACATAATGCAAAAGATACCATCTACTCGGCATCATCGTCTTGTTCGTTAACGGCTTGAAGAGGACCGCTTGCGAGACCAGACCCCTCGTTCTCTAAGATAGCATCCAAAGACCCGCTTCCAAATAAACACACTTGCGGCTCTATCTGGTTTAACCGTTTGTATTCATCATCCGACAAACTCCACTTGAACACATCAATGTTCTGTCGTATCCTCTCAGGCTTCACGCTACATGGCAGCACACTTGTCCCACGTTGAAGACCCCACCGCAAAATAATCTAAATTCATATAACAATCCAACTGCTTAACGAATATTCATTTCAACATATCTTAAAACTTAAAGAATCAACTAAGATGGAAATGTACCTGTTCAGGAGTCTTTTTATGTCTGTCTGCTATCTCTGCAACTACAGACAACTTTAGCATCGGCCCGTGGACTGATCTTGATCTTCTAAACGACATACGGGGTGTTCCAGGTTCATCGTCGCTTGATCCATTTTCAGATGCTTTAGGAGGACAAGATGGTACCCCTAATGGTGTGTGAGCTGATACATGAATGGATTTTGATTGACAGAACTTTACAAGCTCATCTTGCCTCCAAAAAGGATGCAACTCCACCTACATAACACCCTCATTAAGTTAATAATTATATAAATATGCATATATACAGAGGAAAGTTCCTTTGGGAACCTAAAATTGCTTAGGAACCCAGAGCCGTCTTTCCCTCTCTAGGATGAATATTCATCATGAATAACACATTCATGGTAAATATGGAATGAATCACACATTCATGACGAATATAGACTTATTATTCATCATGAATCACACATTCATGATGAATATGTTCATAATCAATTTTAGGTTCTTAATGGACCAGTCCTTATATATACACACATATGCACATACATACCTATACACATACATATAGAGGCTTAATCATTTCAGAACCCCATATATTGTGAGAAACATTATCGTAAGGTATCGTTTCATATGATTTTTTTCATCTAAGGCTAGACATTAGTATATTGATTAACATATATTTGTTTCACAATGTGTTTGTTTCATATGTATTCGGTTCACAATGTAAAACTTTTTAGTTATACTTTTTGTTTCACAAACACATAAAAAATGTTCACATTGTGAAACAAACACACACTAAAGCAAATATATGTTACTCATACACTAACTCCAAGCTATAGATGGAAAAGAATCATGTGAAATAGCAGATGATGCATGGGTTCTCAAGGTTATTACAATTTTATGAGTTCTCAAGTGAAGTCCCCCTGTATACAAATGCATTCATGTTGGTGGAGATGCTACTAGTTCTCTTTACTTTGAGGAAGTTGCCACCTAAACGAGGGATAAATCAATATCACAATATCCGCTGCCTGATTGGTTTGAGCTTGGCTCCAAAGGTCAAAAGTACCAGGAGGTCCCAGGTTCAAATCCAAGGAGGAATAAAAAATCCCTTTGTGGCCACGGAGGTTCAAATGCAGTGACTCCGGGCTATCTGCAAAGCAGGTGGTCGCGCTAGGATTAGTTGGCTCGCATAGCGGGTTGGATATCCAAGTTAATAAAAAAAAAAAGATTTCTTGGAAATGGAACATTCGTTGGAGCTGGTTTTCTATTGAAGGAAATAGAAATCGAGAATGGAGAAGCTGAGTCTATGGTGTCCAAAGATTTCGAAAGCCTTCTACTGTCAAAATGTTAAAGAAAGGGATCTCTCCGGTTAGTGAAATACGTCTCATAGTGACTTCTAATCATTGTTCTTCGACTCAAAATGTTAATCAATGTCCATTTTCCGTTAAGTCTTCCATAGAAGTATAATCATTACAGGGAAAGAAATGGGGTTTAAACAGCTGAAAGATTTTCTACACCCTACCTTCAAAACATCTTTTCTTGCGGTTGTTTGTAATGCTCTTCGCTGAACTTTTGTTGGTGGTCTTAACAGAAACAACCTATTTACTCCTTGTTGACAGATTGTTTGGGACTTGGCTTATTCAGTCAGCTATGCATGATTGTTTACTAATGGTTTAATGATATAGAAAGTGGCCTATTCAGTAAGCTTTTTCGGGGGAGCTTTATGCAGAAAGTGAAGGTTTTCCAAAACCTGCCCCTACCCAAGGAAAAAACAGGCTTCTTTCATCTACGAAAAAACCCTCTCAAACCAAAACTTTCCTGATCTATACAGACATTTCAATGGACTTAATAGAAAACCAACTAAACACCCGCTAAGCATGTATGTGTACATAGAGTTAGGTATGTTATGATCAAGCAAGAAAAAGAAGCCAACCAACCTGATTTACAGCAGGCACAATTCTGGCAAATTTAAGCAACTCTTTTATCTGCTGTATGTCGAAATTGCTCAATCCAATAGCTCGAACAAGACCCAATTCGACCAATCTTTCCATTGTTTTCCATGTGGTTTTCAACTTACTCCAAAACTGTCTATATTCACTACCTGAATTGGCAGGAGGATCAGTGGCATCACCAAACGCAGAACTCTCAGGCCAATGCATCAAGTAAAGATCCAAATATGAAACCCCAAGATTCTTGAGAGAAACTCTAACAGAATTCTCAATCTTATTAATAGAATTCATGGTACAATAATGCTTTGATGTCAAGAAAATATCCTCTCTTTTCAACGAACCCTTGAAAACCTGAGCCAGTGCTTCCCCAACTTCAGCTTCATTCCCATACAAGTGTGCACAATCAATGTGACGATATCCAACCGATATAGCCGTTTTTACAGCCTCCACACAGAAGTCACCGCCACTCTGCCACGTCCCAAGCCCGATCGCCGGAATCTTGGCACCTGTATTCAACGGGAAGTAAGTCCCCGATGGCCCAAATTTCCCTTTCATCCCTTAGAAGATAGATCAAGAAAGATAGCACTCGAATCGAATATGTGAAGCGATTAAATGATGGAACTTGAAGTGAAGAAGAGAAAGCCCACGTTGGACAAGATTGAAGACGACTTGATTGAGTGATTGGAGTAAGGAGAATGGGGGAAAAAGGGGTGTTTTGTTCGATTGGTGTTATGAAATTCAAGATTGTTCATAAAGAAAGTGAAGGAGTTGAAGCTAATGTGGTGCAATCCAGAAAGAAGAAAGTTATAAAAGAGAGATGGAAAGGGGGAATCGTCAACAAAATGGAGCTAGAAATTGGCGTTTTGTATGAAAACGAAAAGATGGGTCAAGAAGAAGGGGCTGCAATTCTAGAATATAATTTCTCCCTCGTGGAAATACAAGGACGAAGTTTGACGTGGATTACAGCGACTGCCGATTGGATTTTCTTTCACAAGTTTTGTTAAAGTTATACGTATAAATTAAAGATTGTTTTGTTTGGAATTGTGTATTTGTTTAGAGTATTATATATATATATATATATATATATATATTAAATTCTGGTCTTAGATAGTAAATTTTAGATAGAAATATAATGTGAAACAATATTCTAAGAAAATAATTCTCAAGTTATGGCAATATAGAGGGTTCTCAAATGATTGATATACACACATATATATATAGAGAGAGAGAGAAAGAGAGAATTGGGTTCCTCTGGATGCATGTTAAAATGAGATTCACCGAAATGAGATATATTAAACAATCCCCGTATCAAGCACAAATCATGAATAATTTTGAAATTAAAGATGATCAATGGTCCAAATCTCTTTTTACGATTCTCAACTTTAACTCTCGTTCTTGCATAATCTTTCGTCTATATTATATATATGAGCGATCAAATGAAAACCACTCTCATTTGTCAAAACTGTACAAATCACCCTCATACGTCGATTTCATTGTTTAATCTTATGAATTTTTTTCATGAAATTGTTTAATCTTGTGAAATTGTTTCATATAATACTTTTTTTTGATAAATTTGTATCATATATGGTTATGAAATTGTTTCATATAATATTTAATGAAATTTTAATGAAACTGTTTCATGTATTTCTCTAAAATTAAAATAATGAAGATAATAATATCCATGATTAACATCATCCACAATAAAAATGGTTAATCAACCTCTCATAATTAC